TATGTCAAATATATATATATATATAAAGTATTACAATATCTCTAGAAATTAAAATTTCTAGAATTTTCATTTCGCAACTACAAGGCTATCTGTTGGTCAAAATCTGTACTGATTAATCTTTATTAATCCGTCTTGAAATTTATAATAAAAAGACGGGATCTCAAGATTATGAAATCCTCCTCAAAGGGAGAGATGCCGGGTGGCACAGGGCATTCGATAGGACACATTAAAAGAAGATTTACCCTCTCCGTTGGTTGCATCTAAAATATGTTCTTCAAACGATGTATCTCGTGAATTGCAGAAATGTCTCTCTTCCAGTGCTTTGAAACGTTTTTTCAGGAACTCTTTCTTTTCCGGAGAACCTAAATGAAACACTTATTATATGCATGGAATTAATTTTAACAAAACAAAGTTATAAGAAAGTTTTGAATTGGCTGAGAGCGGTAGAGTTAAGAATACGAACAAAGAATATTTATTCGTCTTATCATTGTATTCATATGTTTTTAAACTAATTAAAACTGTTGTACCCAAAATATGCACACAAGAAAAATAATCCATAAACATCCATATGTTTTGCAAAATATTTTGCTTTATTAGCAATGATAGCCATATGTGGGGCGAGGGCAACCATCATCTTTCAAAAAGTACCCCAAGATTGAACCGAGCTAGCATGTTTTATATACTAGTGAATTGGTAGTTACGTTACAATACTCCCCCACCACAATTTTATCATGGATAGAATTCGATTAAAGGATACCACTAGTTGATTCTACGTGGTTTTTGCGAAAGAACGGGAGAACAGCATAAAGTTCACCGGATTTTGAGAGCTTGTGGTGAGAGCTGTATTAAGTTCACCGAGTCTTAAGCGTTTGTCGTGGGAGCTGTATTAAGCTCACGGTGTTGCAATTAGCAGTCGAGTGTGCGCAGGATTCCGTTGTAAAGATAGCAAGTCAACTTTTCAATGTGTACCATGCATCGAAGTAGGAGGGTCCTAATCGAAGTATGTGTTACTTTCGAGGTAGGCGAGTTCATATCACGTCCGGGTCACCAATGTGGGGAGAGGAGTTTTTAACCGTGCCAACCATCATCTCTAAAAAGGTTTCTATAAGATCGAATCGAGTTAGCTTGTCTTATATACCAGGGGATTGATGTTGAAAAACCGTAGCTTTAATTACGCCACACCATACTTTGGTATTTTCATTCAATTATGCCTGTTGTAAATGAGCGATATACTTTATTTATCTACATTAAAACATAGTATATGTGAATAAATTTAAGGAAAACTTTCAATATTTTCCAATTATATACTTCTGAATATTTTTTACAATGCATAAATTAAATTTAATGCATTGTAAAAAATAATAAAGTAAAAAATAATAAAGTAAAAAATAATAAAATAAATTAACAGTACTGAGAAGATCTAAACGAGACCCATTTTAAAAGCATTTATTCTGCAGGAAATATATATTTTTTATTCTGTTTATTTGGATCTGAATTTAGTGCAAGTTAAGTAAGCACCTTGGCATAATTGGTTGGAGTTCATACATAGTCCTCATACGGATAGAAGATAATGCACAAGTTAAATCAGATATATCAAAAGTTTCGGCGTGAAAAAAGGAGTTTTCAATTCAAAAGTTCGTAAGGTAAGCAAAATAATAAAATAAAAAAAGAATTGCAATTTAAATATTATAAAAAATTCGAGACGTTAAAATGGCTCAAGTGATATCGCCAAATATTCTGAAGCTTCCTCCATTTGTGTTGGGTTGCTTTTTGAATTGAAGCAGACGTATAGTTTGTCTGAAATAAGAACTCCCATAGCCCTTCGTCTGAACCCGTGGCGGTGACTACAGTAACGAGGTATGACTATTTTAAGTAGGGGCGTGGGATCATTGTTTAGGTCAGGTTTTGGCTCCGGTCGGCGAAAGAAAGGGAATCTTTTTCTTCGGTCTACTGTGTTAGCCTTAGAGTGAAGAGAAGCTACCCTCTCTGAAATGCGCTGTTCCTGTTTCCATAGCAGCGGGTGGCCTCAGACTTTGTGGCGGGGGCAGTTCTTATTGTAGACAAACTAAATATCTATGTAAATAGCAAAAAGTGTCATACAAGGCTCTGTTATGTCAATAGACTTGAGATTTTGCAAGTTTAAAAAGAGCTCAAGTTTTCATTTTGATTATTCCAAAGCTTGACGAGCAATCCTAATATTGTAAGCTGCTACAAATAGTCGAGCTCACGATAAAAAGAAAATCCATATCTATTTCCAAATTTAAAAAGCATTCAAGATCTCGAAAGCCGATAAAAAAGTATTCGAGATCCGTTTTTATATACCTTTTGACTACAATTATTAAGCTAAAATATTAAGTGTCAGATCCCATGTTTTGAAGTCCTGTAGTGAACTGATCGTTAAGACACGGTTCCCAGTAGAACACCGAAGTCAAGCATCACTGGCTGCGGTCAGTGTCCGGATGGGTGACCACTTGGATCAGTCTACACAGGGACCGAGAGTCCTTGTTAAACTGTTCGACTATAAAATGCTCGACTTCTCACTCAGGTTGTCAGGCTACCGAAGCGGGGGTGCCATCCCCTCTGCAGAAACTCAAAATTGTGATGGCACGTCTTCGGATCATCGTCAGGGATGTTTCCCAGACCGTCTCCAATAGCCCATTGTTCAGCTCTAGTGCTACGTAAGTAAACTAAAACAACAACATGTTTTGAAAATAAGACGCTAGTATCCAAAATATGAGCTGCAACTCACCGACTGTGGTAAAAACTTGACATCCAATAGCGAGAGCGATTGAAATGGCGGCTTGTCCAACTCCGCCACTGCCAGAGTGTATGAGGACCTTTTCACCCTTTCTCAATCCTCCCCTCACAACCAGGGCATAATATGCAGTGGAGTAGGCTATTGGAACTGTTGAGGCCTCTTCAAGAGTCCATTCGTCTGGAACATCCCACAGAAAGTCAGGATCGAATGCGACGGACGTGGCTAAACCTTTGGCTGGAACTGATCCCATCACCCTTTTCCCGCTGGATAACCTTCCAGAAAATTCTAAACCTAGAATACAATCTTGGCGAGCAAGGTCTCCTGCAAGAATGAAATACATGTTACTGGAAGGAATACAATTGTCCAAAAATAATTAAATAAACATTAGAAAAAAATAATTATTAAAACGTGATAATAAATTTCAAAAAAATAATAATAAATTTTAAAAAAAATAATAATAAATTTAAAAAAAATAGTAATAAATTTAAAAAAAATAATAATGAATTTTAAAAAGATAATAATAAATTTAAAAAAAATAATAATAAATTTTAAAAAAATAATAAAAACTATTTATTGTTTCAACCATTTGCATTTCAGATGAATATATTTCTCGTAACTTTAGATACAAGGATTTCATTAATAATCCAGTTTAGGAAATTAATGTTTTTTTATAACCGTCGTTGAACAGCCGACCCAATTTTATGAGTTTACGACTACTAATGTTCAACTCCGTAGTCTTGTAATTTTAAATCTAATCCAGAAGACAAGGGAACTCCTGGATCGAGTATTGGGAGAAATTTGCCTTCGTGGATGACTTTTGATGGAGCTAACCCGCATTTGCGTTGCATGGAAAGGAAGACTACGAGAACCTCCCACGGTTAGCCTGGCTGCAAGGGGACTTTAACCCATGATCTGTCTACCATTGAGGATATTTCACGTTAGCACTGCGATCGGTGCAAGCCGGATGCGGAATTCGTATCGATTGGGATTCGAACCCGGTTCGCCTTATCGGAAGGCGAACGGTCTATCCCCTGAGCCATCGTGACTCTGAAATAGATGTTTGACCGTGTAAAACTAAGCGCAGATGGCGCTAGGGGTTAAAATTCGTTGTTAGACTTCCGGGTTACTACTTCCGACTGATTTTTACACCCAATCTTGAAAAAACACACCATACTTGTCATACTTGTAGTGTTTTCAATGTAACGCGTTCTTTCAATCTAACATACAACGAAACAAACAACAAATGAATTCGAAAAACTTCGAAAGCTTGCTATGATGATACCGAATATATAACAAACTGTGCCATCTTACGCAAATATAGCCAAATAAGCGTAAATTTAAACACAAATCACAGTAATAAAACTTTCTAGAATATTAAGCCTGTTCACACATTGCCTCCATGCCATAAGCGGAGAGATACACCGGAAGTTTTCTAAATTTCTTCCGGTTTTGGGAAGCTTGTTATTGTTTACATTCAGTCAACCGATCTTCGATAAAAAATACATTCTGTTAAGAATTTTTTATATCATTCAAAAGGAGAATTACGGTGTTGAGATAGACTTAAAATTGTTGGGAATAAACAGGTGGAAAAATCTAGCTCAAAGTCGCCCTGCCTGGAGGCAGCTAATTTAGAAAGCCTTGGCCTGCACTAGGCTGTAGTGCTGACGAAGAAGAGAAGAAGAAGAAAAGGAGAATTACCTGGTATGGCATCAGGTGGCAATTTTCCACTTGCTAGCATAATATCCCTGAAGTTGAGAGGAGCATAATAAACTTGGCATAACACACTTTTCTCCAAAGTGTTAGGTGATATCCAAACAAAACTGGACAAATCACCTCGAGTTAGAAAGTTTAAGTAAGCAGCGCTAGACTCTCTCTTGTTGGAACCTGCAAACATTTTAATTTTATGAGATTCAGGCAATTCGATTGATCTTAAATTATGTGTTCAAAATAATTTCTTCGAAATAGTATTTTAGGCGGAATGAAAACGTGATAATACTCATTATAAATAATTAGGCATTTAATAATTAAGATGTCACTTTGGCAATTTCATTTTGTCGCCATAGCATCGTTGAAACAAAATTATTGTAGCATTTTACTTTTGGTGATACAGTATAGTGTCGTAAATAAACATGGTGTTGAAAACTTTAATATGATGCAGGGTACATGATAAGGATTGACAATTGCAGAGTAACCGAAATGAACCACCCTACAATAGTCTAACTGTTCATGCACATTTTGAACCGGTACTTCTATTTATCGAAATTATTTTTTAAAGAAATTTATGCTAATTGTCGAGAATTTCATTCAAACAGGTTCAAAAATAGCTTTTGCGTCGTAATTTCATGGTTCGGCAGATCAAATTTCCCAAATTCATCAGCTTGTCCATTGCGAAGAGGCTTTCTTAGATAATATTTCCAATCATGGGTTGCTATGCAATACTTATGAAACCTCATCTTACAGTTTTGACTATTATTTTGTAACACTCTGCATTGGTCACTGCTGTTGCCAAAAGTAATAATTCAAACAAAGCATATTTTTTCCTAGTTAATTTATTTCGTAATTCGCATAAAGGTTCAAATTTTTAATTATGAGAATTTAAAATAGCATCTATATTGAACCTGAGAAAAACCTGATCTATATTGAACCTGAGATTATACCTGAGAAAAAATAGGACGATCTGCAAAATCACAGATTTATAATTAGCAGTAATATTTAAAATTGGTTTAATAAATAGTTACACTAGAACTAAATTTTCGAAAATTTTATCAAATAAAGGCTGGCTCTTAATTGGCGATCGAAATGGGTTGCAGGTGGCGTAGAACAGAATTCTCTACCTATGGCAACACTTCGCATACTTTCCCCATTAGCGTGTGGAGAGTCAGAGGAGGTGGAAGTACAATAATTTCTGTCTTGATTTTCAAATAGATTAAAAACTTTTAAGTTAGGTAACTATATGGAACTGAAAACTACATTGAATATACAGTATACTCTCGATTATCCGGTTTGCGGATTATCCGTGCTCATTCTGGAGTCACATGAAAAATATAAAGAGAAACATTTTCAAGATTAAAAAAATTTTATTCATGAAGTTATAACACTACCAAATTTTTGGAAAGCAATATTCGTTATTGGATTGCAGTATATGGAACATCAGCAGAATGGTCAAAGGTAAAATCGTCTATGTTATCACGATCTTGGAGAAAGATGATACCGCTTGATGAACAATCCTCTACAGATATTCAAGAAAAATATGATAACAGCATTCTCGAACAAGCAAAAGAAGTCTAAGGTTTCGAAATTCTTGATGAAGAAAATTTAGAAGATGGGTTTCAAAGTGATGCATGTGAGCCTGGGCTTCCAGTATTTGACTGATGAAGACATCGTAATGTTGTTAAATCAAATAGTGATGATAGTAACTGATGCAGAAGATGTAGTAAATGAATGAAATACAATTTCTCATTCTGCTGCTCTGTTGAAACTTTATTAGATTATATGGGAGGATTTGATTACGGTGACATTACTGCGGTTCGTAAAATATGTGCATCGATGTATGGCGAAGACGCATTACACATTTTTTAATAAGAAAAATTCCTAGTTTGATGTTATGCATGCAAATGTCAGTAATTTTTATATTTTTTGTACTGATATTGAATTTTTCTTTAATAAAAGGAGTTTTCGGATTATCCATGTTTTTCGATTGTCCGTGCGACCTGTCCCGGTGATTAACCCGGATAATCGGGAGTGCACTGTAGTTCCAAAAAAAAAGCGTCGTGGAAATTTTAAAAAAATATTTGTGGCAATCAAATACGAAATTCTTTTTACAACTGAGAAGAGGAGAGGGAAGAGTCAAGCTACGGAACCGGTCATCTCCCCAGATGGCGTTGTGATCGAGAATATGAGGGATTCTCCAATGGACTTGCGAGTTTTATTTCTTTGAAACACTCTGTATAAAGCTGAAATGATTTACATAATGCTTGGCCATTCATGCATGATAGAGGAGCATAAGAAATTCCATTACCTTCAGTAAATTTCAAATAACGATAGGATCCCCACACGCCTCCTTGGTATACATTCATTGCGAGATCCTTCCGAACTAGATCCTGAAACCATTGATTGTTGTTGTCTGTAGAGAAATCAGCTTTGCTTCTGAACAGACACCTGAAATAATTCAAACCATTTATCTAGATCCGTGAGGTCATTCTGATTGGTTGATTGTATTTATTCTTCAAATAAATTAATGGCATTATGTAATTTTATGCAATTTAATGACATTATGGAATTATGTAAATTAATAATTAATGGCATTATGCTAATTTCCTTATATATTTTAAGCAAATAATGTTATTTGATTTATTGTATTATATACTTTTTAAAGAAATTGATCTTATCAACTTATAGGTTGGAGGCGTGATGGTTCGGGGGATAGAACGTTCGCCTTCCAATGACGTGAACAGGATTTGAATCCCAGTAATGGCTGTTCGATACGAATTCCATATCCGGCTTGAACCGACCACAGTGCTAAAGTAAAATATCCTCAGTGGTTGGCGGATCATAGATTAAACTCCCCTTGTCATCAGGCTACCCGTTGGTTTTTTTCCCAGTATAAAGCAAATGCCGGTTAGTTCCATCAACAAATCCTTAACGAAAGCAAAATTCTCCCAATACTTGATCCAAGAGTTACCTTGTCTTCTGGATTGGGTTCAAAAGCACAAGGCTATGGAGTTGAACATTAGCAGTTGTAAATCCAAAATTGGGTCGGCTGTTAGACGAAAGTTATAATACTTATAGGTTGGTTCATTTTATTAACTTGAATATATCAAAAAGCAGGGCTCGAAAAACTCAGAAATATTACCCGTCCCCGAGAACGGCTTGTCCAACAATGTACCCGTCCTCCTTTGAAACTAACCCGGAGCTTCTAAATAAATACAAATATAATTTTCTCTTATTTATTACAAACATTTATATAAATTGCACAATGAATTAGTAGTTGCTAGGATTACAAATACTAGGAATACATTACACAGTAATAAAAGAAATACTAGGTCACTAATAGGAACCTAGTATTTCTTTTATGAAATAATTTAAATGACAAAGATCAAGTTATCTGGAATGTCAATTTTTTTTAAATGACTCAAATATGACGTTTGCCAGTTCCACAATCAAGCCAATGATTTACAGAGGTTTCTGCACAGAAATCTGAAAGTTTTTTTTTATTTAGATAGATGTTCATAACTGCGTCTAACGCTTAATGTTTAAGACCAGTACGTAATGTGCTTTTTTGTAAGTTCATTGCTGAAAAGCCCCTTTCAACTGCTGTAGTACCTTAGACAGAGAAAACATCAATTCCACCATGCGCAGTATGTTGCTCTATTGTGGGTCATTTTGCTAGATTAGAGGGTCATTTTATTTTAAAAGTGAGGCGCTAGACTCTTGTAAGATAACAAAAATTGAAAATGTATCACGAACATTAACGGGAAAATGGTCGTCAGCGCGGACGTCGGATTCCAGAAATTCGTTGTCCGCGGGGAATATTTGACTGCCGAGGATGGGCGGACGGGCGGTTTTTCGAGCCCTGTCAAAAAGTAACATTATATTAATTCAAGCTCATAGAAACGTTGCTGCTGTTTGGTAAGAGAATGCTTCTACGGTACTTTAATGAGTACCGAGCAGATAATATGCAGGTTATTTAGGTGGTTCACAGGTTATCTAGGCTACTTGAGAAATGAAGCAATTTTTTTGTCATCTAGTTGACCAATTTAACTGGATCAACCTAGTTAAGTGTCGATTTCAAAATCGGGCAAATCAGACAGGTTTGAATGGTTGACATTTTTTGATTTTCTTAAACTTTTCCGGATATGTTCTTTATTTAAAGCTATTAAACATGTGTTTTTCTATATTTTGCTTTCTCGAATTTTTATTTTTGAGGGGAGGGGGAGCAAAACTAAAGATCCTTTGAAATTTTGAGGAAAAAAACATCTGTTTACAAGTGACAGGAACGAGTGACCGTTATTTTATGTTCTACTGCTCTCACTCTAAATTTTTTTTTCCAATGCCCACCTGGATAATAACCTAGGTCATACAAGCACCCGAAGGGCAGATTTGTTGGCCACTCTTTCAAGGGGCACCATATTAAGTGGGACAGCGTTGCATCCACAGTAAGGACAGATAGAAGAGAAGGAGAGGTCATCCATGCCTTGCCCGGGATTTGAACCCAGAACCTTTTTGATGCGAGGGCAGTTCCCTAACCTGTACACAGGCCAGTCGACTCACTCACACTAAATATTAAGACATAAAAACTTTCAATAGAAATGTACACCGAAAGTCATTCAAACATTTTCGTCAAGAATCATCAAAAATCTTCGTCAAAAATCATTAAAAAGTCATTCCAAAATATTCAAAAAGAGGCTATTTTATGGAACGTCAAAATCTAGTCTAGTACCAATCTAAACTAGTACCAGTCAGTGAATACGAATGATATTTCTGTGAATACGTAACTAGGAGTAGAGTAATATCTAAAAAATAAATAGGTGTGGTGCAGTGGTTTTTCCTCCCCATGTAACGCAAATGCAAATGCGGGTTAGAATAAACCCTTCCCGGGAGGGGGTGGAACAAAGACGGTTCGAGACAAACTAAGTTTCCTAAGATTAGTCCAAATGAAGTATTCTAAGAAAACATTTCTACTTTTACAAACATCGTGTGCACATTCCTATTAATATTAAATCATAATTTTTTTTTTTCGTAAATAAATAATATATCAACTTATATCTATTCACAAAAATAATTAATAGAATAGTATGTAAATAAAAATTAATTCCTGGCAATTCTTTAAATAAAATATTATACATTTAAAAATTGTTTAAGCTCACTTAATGCGTGACACATTAAAAGTGATACATTACTAAGTGGCGTTATTTAAAATATGTCAATTGAAATTATTAAAAATGTGAGTGATTTTGTTTCCATTATTCGTCCGAAATGAATATTCTGTGTTGAACAGTATTGGCTAAATATCAAATATTTGTATGATGCATCTCTAATTTAGTAGTAGCAATTGTTAAGAAGAAATTAGTATCTATTTACAATTTAAAAACTTCTTGAAAAGGATTTTAGCAATTTTTGCAATAGCAGAACCCTATTTGCACAAATTCACAAAAGCCCTGGTTGAAAGAATGTAACTTAACGCTTATTTTATATTCACAAATTACGAATAGTTTTTTCACAATTTTACTAAAATAGGACCTTCCACTTTCACAAAATGTCTGGACTACCCTGGCGTTAACTTTGTAAATACTTGTAGTACAAACAAAAACAAAATATAATTAAAAAGCTATAAGGACAAGTATTCTAAATTTGTAATAAACTCATTTTCAAAAATTTTGTACAGAATCATCTTTTTGCACTTAATGGATGTTATCTTATTTATTTCAAGTTTAAACGATGCCATTTGGATTCAAGACAAGTTTCCTTAAAAGTTATCTCTGTTGAAAGGACATTATTTAATTAGTCACTCATTGTTTAATATATGCTAAGAAAACTTTTAACTGTTGCAATGTAACAATGGTTAAACAATTTAATACAAACAATTATAACAATTACATGCATTGTTTTACTGTGAAATCTTCATTTCTAAAGTTTATGTGCTATCTGTAGGTGATTATTTTACGGGTGCTTAAACTTAATTAGAAAAATGGCAAAAGTGCTGAGATTTTTGCGAAAAAGGCTGTAAGTATCAGATATTAGTAACATTATCTTATAGTAGCATTAATTTTATAATTTTTTTCCATAAAAATATTTTTCACTGCGAATACAAAATGATGTTAGCTTAAACTTAAATTTTAAGCACTACCGTAAATAGTAATCTAATAAAATATCATAGTGCACTTTTATAAGAACTTTTATTTCAATCGCATTATTTACTAAAATCTATAAATATCTAATTAATATTTAACTTTTACGAATAATGTACACAAAGGTGAGTTTATCTGAGCAAAATTGTAAATATTAAAAAATGTAATCATATATATATATATATAAATATATATCTATNAGATGTAATGTATGTATGTACACTTTGAGGAAATCTGTAAACAGCTTTATTTTAAATTAAATTTTTTCAAAAAAATCTAACTTTCTTTAATTCTTCACTAGTTCTGTTAAAAATTATTGACTTAAATATTTAATTTATTAACTTTAATATATTTAATTTATTGACTTAAATATTTATTTTTCGCTTGTAATACCATTTTTGAAAATCATAATGTGTACTATTTACATGCTTAGTTACGAACTGCTAATGAATCGGTTAAAAGGTCACCCCGCTTATAAGGTCACTTTTGCGATTCCCTTAGGGTGACCTTATATCGAGGTCTGACTGTATATATATATATATATATATGTATACCACTACCAGTGGTTAACTCCATAGCCTTGAATCCAATCCAGAAGTCAAGGAAACTCCTTGATCAAATAATGAGAAACATTTGCCTTCGTGGAGGAATTTTGATGGAACTAACCAACATTTGACTCACATGCAGAGGGTAAACCACTAAAACCTTCCATGGTTAGTCTTACGACAAGGAGGGGACTTTAGACCATGTTCTGTCAACCACTCATGATATTTTACGTCAGCACTGTGGTGGTTGGTGCCACAGCCGGATGCAAAATTCATTTCAACCTAACATCTCTGGGCTTCGAAAATGGGTCTCCTCATTAGGATACAAGTATCCCCTAAGCCACCACAGCTCCATATATATATATATATATATATATACTGATTTATTTATTTACTTTTAGCACAAAGGTGTTTAAGAAGGGTGAAAGTGCGGATGAAAATTATTTCGAAATAAGAGATTGGGATGAAGTTCTGAAAGAACAAATGATGGCTGAAATGCCATTTGGAGAGTCTAAGAAGGCTCATGAAAATGTCCTTGAAGGGGACAAAGATCAACCATCTGAGAAGACAGATGATGATGCAACTCTTGGCGAGTTCGATATGGCTACCAATGGCAAGTTTGAGTTGCGAGATTGGAATGATATTCTCAAAGAACAAATGGTGGCCGAAATAAGAGTTTCCAAGAAAGCTCATCAGCGTAAAACGCTTGAGGAAGCGATCGTTACCAGCAAGAGGGAATGTAAAAATACTCTTATATATGGGGCATTTGATGAGCTAGATAAAATTGAAACTCTGGAGCAAATGATGCTCTGGTTGACACGCTGGTGAAAATCCAGAAAAGACATTCAAAGAATAGTTGATGAGCTGGATACAATTGATACGATAAAAGAAATTATTAGCTTGTTGATAAGCTGGTAAAAATTTTTAAAAGACTTTCAAAATAAAGTTGATGAGCTGGATGCAAATGATGCTCTCAAACAAATTATGCAATAGTTGATACGCAGATAAAAAGTTTGAAAAAAAACTCATAACCATAGAACTGTTTACTGGAGCTGCAGAATACAATAAAGAATCTCCAATGGCTTAAAATTGTATATTTTTGATAATTGTGTAAGAAAAGGCGAACTATTAAAATAATGTTTCTATTTTCTATTGCAATAACTGATGTATATATATATATATATATATGTTTAAATAAACAGTTAATTAAATATTATTTCTCATATATTTCTTTTTTAATTCTATTTATACTTTTAAAATATAAGTCTTTTAAGAAATTTTTATTATATAATGCTATAAGAGTGATGGCCTTCGGTAAAATTCCACAATAGTTCACCTCTTGGCGACTTTTTGAAATATCGCCAAGTTTACCAAGTCGGCGATCATTACTGGGATTAACAATGTTTTTTGATCATTAAAAAAAACAATTTCAACCCGTACCGCAAAAAAAAAAGATTAAAAAATGAAATAATAACGCTAATAAATGAAATAACAGTTAAAAATGAAATAATAACGATGATCCTACCAGCAAGAGATCAGAAGCATAAATGGCGAAAAATTAAATACTTATATCTCCTTTCTAACGAAATCCAACATTCGCGGAGGTATAGGAAGCAAATAACCAATCAGGTTTAAGAATTTTGGTGGTTTCATCGGATGTTCAAAATAATCTCCTCTAAATATGTTCTGGCAACCTAGTTTGGCGAGATATCAAAAACTTGTCTGTCGAGATTTTAAAAAAATCGCCACGGAGTGGGCTATTCTAGAATTTACCCATGGCCTTTGTTAATAAAGGGAAAAAAAATTCAGATCTGATTGATCTTGCGAGGAATGTGCTTTCGATTATGTCAATCGTCATCTATCAAAAGGTACCCCAAGATTGAATCGAGTTAGCATGTCTTATATATTAGGGAATTGACGCTTAATAATCGTAGTGGTAGTTACGCCACAAACTAACCCAGGAACTAGGTGAAATGATTCTCCTTCAAGTACACGTATTTGAAATAAAGAAAATAATTCAGGGAAATCATGAGTTTGAACAATTATGAGTTTGAGGATGCGAAAATATCATTGACTAGAATTATAGAGGAGAGAGTTTTTTTTACATTTTATTTTATAACAGTCGTTGAACAGCAGACCCAATTCTTTGAAGTCAGGAAGACAAAGGAACTCCTGGATCAAGTATTAGGAGAAATTTGTCTTCACGGAGGACTTTTTGATAGAACTAACCCGCATTTGTGCTACATGGAGAGGAAAGCCACAAAAAATCTCCCGCGATAAGCCTGAAAGCAAGGAGACTCTAACCCATGATCTGTCTGCCACTGAGGATATTTCACGTCAGCACTGTGGACGGTGCAAGCCGGATGCGGAATTCGTATCGACTGGGATTCGAACCCGGTTCGCCTCATTGGAAGGCTAACGCACTATCCCCTAAAGCATATTTGGTGTGACTATTAAATTGTTCTTCAGCAACAAATTGGACTAAGCTAATGTAAAAAGTAGTTGCCAGGAATCGCTTTAAATTATTATTATTTTTTTGCATTAAACTACTCACTAAACTACTTTTTTTTGAAAAAAAGTAGCACATAGCACTACAAACTGCAAATAAAAGTAGCGACTGCAGTAGTTTCATTACTTGTAGTTCACTACTTCCGACAGTTGGTAGGATGTATATTTGGCGTGACTATTAAATTGTTCTTGAGCAAGAAATTGGAACTTCGCACTATTTTCTAGGTCATTAACTGCCTTAAAAACAAACCAAAACTAGATAATTTGTTGGAAAAGAAGTATAGATTAAACAAAATCAAATCACAAACCTGTTTAATTTTTTTTTATAAATATAATATGGCCTTACATTCTGAGGCTTGTATGAAGGTAATTTAATAACGAAACGCGAAAGCTTCAGATTGCGTTTAAAAAATGTGAGCCTATGTGAAGTTGACACCTCCCCCCCCCCCAAGGTGAGCCTCTTGCTAGAACTTGCTGAGGGAATCCAAGTCAAAATTTTTGATGGTTTTCCTTGATGGACCAACATAATCTTGATGGCATCCATCAATAATTCCACCATGAACCATTTTAGTTTTTGATGGTAACCAACACCCCACTGTAGAAATTCGGACTGATTTATGATGGGTCAACATTAAAAAAACCAAATTGCTTTGATGGCAAATTGCTTTGATGGCTTTTAAATCATCATGAAAACGCATTGTTGTACCATTATAGATCATAACGAATTGCCATCATAGTATATCTTTGAAAAGAAATGTTGAAATGATCAAGAACAACTATCTTTCCAAATTAGGAATTTGGACTGATTTATGATAGTCCAACATAAAAAAAATCCAAACTTTTTTTATGGTATGTTCCTGAGAACCAACAGAAATTCCCATTAAACCATTATAAACGTGTATAGTTGGAACCATCATGGACCATGACGGATCATCATGGATTGTTGGTCCATGAGAAACAAATTTCTCTTGATGGTTAACCATCATAGTATTAAAGAAGCATTTTCCATAATGAAATGAGGGAAGTTTTGTTGGCATATCAAAAATCATGAAAGCATAATAAATCATACTGAAACCAACATAAACCATCAAAAAAATATTTATATGCACTATTATATCCGCAAAAAGGAGTGCTTTCTAATATTGTATCAATAAAGCTAAAGCAAAATATACTAATACAATAGAGTACTCAAAAAATTTAAACAAGAATAGAATATATATATATATATATATATATATATATATATATATATATATATATATATATATATATATATATATATATATATATATATATATATATATATATATATATATATATATATATATATATATATATATNTGAAAATAAGAGGCACTGTACTTTAACAAAACATATATTAAACGCTAAATTTACATAAAGATGGACGATAAACAAACACAGGAACAACACAAAATAAATGAGTTCGTCATCGTGAAGTTAAAAGAAAATCATGATCGCTCATCCTCTTTTGGAATTCATCAGCGTCTCCTTTTTTGTTAGTTCCATTACGCGCTCCCGTGTCTCTCGTGTCTTTGGGAAATTCGCACGGGGTCTAACTTGCAGCTTACATAATCTGTCATAATCTGGTTGGATCTCTAGCTAGATCAGCTTACGGCACAGGAACTGGTACTATAGATTGGAACTGGCACTACAGATAGGAACTGGCACTACATATATATATATATATACAGAGAGAGAGGAATCGAGAGAAGAGTGGAATAGACATATGCAGTACGTACCTGATACTAGTACCCTTTCGTTCTTGCCTTAAGCAGTTAACTAAACCGATGATTCCACTGTGTGCCGACGATTCACTCACAAGCCAAATCCTTTTGCATTCATTCCATTGCGAGATTTCACCTTTTATTCTATCCACCCACTTTTCATAATCGAAATCAACGAGAGGAACAACAACGACATTTTTCGAAGTAGCATGTGACACTTTCCTCAACAAGTACAACGTAGAAGTCAGGGAATCAGATTTCTTGCAAATGGTTGCTAAGTTTAATTCCTCACAAATGAGTTCGAAATCACTTTCATCTTGAACGGGTATAACTGTTTCCCCAGCTGCAGCGAGAAACATTTCTGCGGGGAGAACCTTAGTCCTCAGCAGAACTGCAACGAAACCGTTGTCTTTTACAGCTGATGCCGCACTCCGCAAAGTCTGTTCGACCCTGTTGCAGTTTATCACAAAGAAGTCAACGTCCTTCATTCCTAGTGGAAGGTCTGGATCCCACTTCATTATGTCAATATTTTTCAGCTCTTCCTTCATGACGCAGTCCGGATTGACATGAGCAACTGTAAAATTCAACGGAGGCGGCGTAATCAATGTCTTGGCTAATTCTTCAAGTCTTATACTCATCAGTCTTTGACCATCAGCGGCTTCAGATATTTTTAACTCTTTAGAAGTTGTATTCTCTAGCACAATGTCGAATAGCATTCTTAAAAGCCTGTCGCCAAACATGGTCTCCCATAAAATGTCGTAGCCTCTTTTCGATGTGTAGTCATTTGCAATTCCAGTTAATTCTTCACTTGTCTCGGCGTGTTGAGCGTTTTTGAGAGCTTGCAGCAGAATCTCTCGCTCCCCTACTTTTTCTAAATGTTTCATGGCGACGCCTCTCTCTATTTCTGCATAGTTATTTGTGAAATGAAAGTTTGTATACTTATCGCTTTTGTCGAGTATACTTTTCGCCACAAAAGTGCATACCCTAATGTAATGCTCCAACGTTTTCTTTTCTGATTCTAAGAGTATTTGTGTCTCATTGTAGGGGACAAAGTGATATTCTGAAAGTGTCGGGGTTCGCTTCCCTTGGCGTCTTCGAGCGAAAGTTGCTTTCAAATGTTTCATTTCTACTCCACCAGCTCTACAGCATTTAGTATTCTTATCATAAACAACTGGAATACCTGAAATGAGAAAAACGCAGAAAATTAATAAGATTTATTAACTGCGCATAAGTTGCAAGTATATAGAACACATAAAATAAGTTAAAATATTGAGAAAATGTGGAAAATAATAAAAAATAATGACAAGAGAAGAAAATTATAAAAAATATTTTAAAAAATATTTTTTTTCCAGGTACGCGTAAACTTATTTTAATTCGCTCCTCACTATATAGATTTTCTTTCGTGTACTGTTCTGTAATTTCTTCAAATTTTATTTTCTGTTTTTTGCTTGATATGTTTTATCTCGTATATATTTTTTACCTAATGTGTTCTATTTTCGCTTCAATATTTTTAGTGCTCTTCACACTAATGTATTGATATATTTTGCTTTGACTATATTGGTACAATATTAGAAAGCACTACTTTTTTCCGGATATAATCGTGTGAGCTGATGAAAAGATTAAGTCTTTTATTTTCCGGATATTTATAAATTTTTTTATTCTTTTTTCGGATATTTTTTTTACGGTTTCTTGTTTTTTTTATTATTATTCCCCCCCCCTTTTTTTCCATTGTTCTGTAATTTTCTCCATGTTTTCCCATGTTTTCGTTTCCTGTTCCTTATGTGGCATCCAGGGCGACCAGGGGGCCCATTCCATGCCACGAAAATGCACCCCACACCATGACTGATTGGCCACCGGCCTAGACTGTGCCCACTTGGCATGCTGGATCCATCGCTTCGTGCGGAGTGCGCCACACACGGTGCCTTCCATTAGCATGGAACAGTTGATAACGTGATTCGTCAGACCAGATCACGTTACGCCACTGTTGCAGCGTCCATCCGTGGTGATTGGTGGCAAATGCACGCCGAATTGTCCGATGACGCTGGGTTGGCAGTGGCACACGTGTGGGGCTCTCATACCCGAGAACACGCATGTTCCTACGGATTATCCACTGAGACACGTCTCTATCACGGCCAGTGTTGAATTCAGCCGTGATTTGTTGCACATTTGCTCTCCTATCTCGAGTTACCACTCGTCTCAGGTTTCGCCTGTCTCGGTCATTTAGGGCCTGTGGACGCCCGGTATGGTGTCTGTTGTGGACTGTGACACCCTCATTCACCCATTCTCGGTAAACTCTCGACACGGTTGACCTTGGGAAGCCGAATTCCTGAACCACTTCCGAAATGGAATGTTCCATGAGTCGGGCACCCACAACCATGCCGCGTTCGAATGCCGTCAACTCACGACGACGTTGCATTTTACCTGATCACTCACACAGCCACTTCAAGCAATGTCTAACACACAACTGAGACCGTCGCGGAGGCCACCAGGTGGCGTTGGTCACACGTGCTGTCCATCCACAAATCAGAGCCCTGCTATCCCATGAGTTTTGCTCAGT